GATCCCACTTCCAGCTCCACTCCCCATTCCCTCGCCTCTCGAGCACACTTCAGAGACCATCTCTCCACCCCTCACTTCACTATCCCCCAACGCCCCCCCCCTCAGTGCATCCCCACCCGATCCCACAAACCGGACCCCTATACCAGACCCATCACCACATTTCCCCCCATTTTCCCCCTCCTCCCATAACATCCTGCCCTCTCTTCCCACATCCCCATTCCCCCCCACCCCATCGCAGTGGCGCGCCCCTCCCTCACTACACCCCCTCCCCCCACCATCCCCCCGCCCATGACATTTCTGTCATCGATCAGCCATCCCATCCAACCATCCCCAGACTCTCCACACCCTTTCGACCTGCCCTACATCAACCAACCCGCTCACAAACACCCATTAACTTACTAACCACATCGACTAATATTACTACCAATATTAGAATTTACATCTATTGTTCATAATAATAAGTTTAATAACTTTGTTGTAGTTATTATTATTGGGAATATTATTATAAGTCACGGGTATTAGTTTTGCTGATACCATTACTATTAGCAGGAGTATACTCAGTATAGTGATTAAATCATTAAATATTATCGTTATTTTTGTGATAATATTTATAAATTTATAGTCATTAGACTCATTACATCATCACAGCCATTATTAACACTAGTATCAGCTCTAACAATTATTGCCAAATCAATAACGAACAGTGAACTGACAATTCATCACAACTTTAGCAATATCATCTGCTACAACAAATTGCAGAACAGATTATTTTAGCCAGCAGCTGCGGACCCTCTCCACAAACAGAGCTATTAAGCCCCCTTCCAAACGAACCAAACTCAAGTTGGTCCTTTTTTCAACCAGCCACTCAGTCTCCTGCTGTAGCGAACAATCCCAACCCCAGTTGGGGTAGGGAACATCTGGCCATTTATTTATTTATTTTTATTTCTTTCTGGTCGCTAACACCCACGAACCACAAAATGATGAACTCTCAATCCTCTACTGCAGCCTCCTCTGCAACAGCAACTGCTGCTGCAACCACGAGCTCAACAAATGGCGCTCCAAACAAGCTCAGAGATCAGGAGCAGGACCCAAGTCACGAA